TTTTAAAATTATGTCTTATTCTTTTTGGCCACACCATGTGGCATGTGGGGTCCTAGTTCCCTGACCAGGAATTGAACCCACACCCTTTGCATTTGAAGCACAGAGCCAGAACAACTAGACCAGCAGGGAAGTCCCTGCATCCACTCTGAACACCTTCCTGACTCAGAGGCCCGTACCTCTCATCACTTTCTAGAAAGGTGTGGATACCAAATTGCACTCTTTTCATCCTCTAAGACTTTTCACCTCCTCCATGCAGACTTCCTGCATTGAATCCTCCGCTCCCTCAGGTACCATCCTCCAGCACCCTTCCAATCACCGACAGCCTGGTGGCTTTCACTTGAGATTCACACCTCTCCCATTCTTTATGTTTGTTCTGTTTCACTTCTTTACACACGCCCTTGAGTTGTGGGCTTTTGGAGGCAAGAGTGTCATTGTGATGACAGAATGACATATTGCAAAGGGCCCTCGGGAACAAAGGAGTCAGGACACTAGAGTTGTGTGAACTGCGAGAATACACTTGTCTTCTCTGTAAAATCTGCCTGTCGGTCTAGACTCAGGTCCTCAGGGTAATCCAGTGGAAGGCTGTGGTTACGTCCTGTCCTCCTCACTCAGAGGCCTCTGCCCAGGGGAGCCTGTAATAATCCTGTAATGAGACCAAAAAACGTCAGCCACGAGATTCTAAGACGGGCAGGGGATGACAATTTGAAAGGGCACTGTCGTGGTTTAAGCTACCAAAACGTCTCCTACCCGTCTGCTTTCTTCCTGGCGGAAGGACTTGCCCTTGTTTTAATCCACTATCTACTCTGCTGGTCAGAACGCATTTCCCACCTCAAGGGCGCTTTCATAAATGTCCGTCTGCCCTGGAAGCCACGCCGCGCCCCTCTGCACCAGCCCCAGCCCCTGGCTCTGCCCCTGCCTCATAGCAACTGCTGTTGGTCAAGCAGACGCCTCTGGTGCCTTCTAACTGGACTTCTTAAATGTATGGACGGTTCCCCTTGAACTCCCGATTAGGTCGGGTGCTTCCCACCTAATTGGCACTCGGCAAAAAATTCAGTGGTGAGTGAATCCTGGATGAGTCACTAAACTATCTGGTCTGTAGGTGCCATATGTCTCTCCACATTCCCTTTCCATTCCTTTCTGTCTTCTTCCAGTTCAATACCTGTGATCACAGTGGGAGGGATTTTGGGAAGAAGACAATAAATGGGAAGAATTGTAAATGACATGTCAAGTTGATTATTTTTTTCACTGTAGTTCAGTTGGGCAGTGATTCCCTCAGGTAAGACCCTTGGACCACAGGATGCTGTGCATACACACAGATGCAGTCTGTGCTAGCACTTGGGTGAGCTCGACTACTGCACAAAGAGGATCTTGGACTGGATTCTGGGGCACAGAAAGGATACTGGTGAAATTCAGTGGGAGTACAGTCAGGCTTCTGCATTCGTGGACGCCGAACCTGTGGATACAGAGGCCGGAATGCACTCTACCATTGTCTACCATGAACTTAACCACCTGCAGACTGGGGTGTCTGCAGGGGCTCCTGGAACCAATCCCTGGGGGATACTGAGAGATGACAGCACTGTTGATTTTGTAGTTTTGACAAATGTGCCATGGTCATGCAGGGCGTCTCTGCTGGCTCAGATGGTGAAGAATCTGCCTGCAATGCAGGAGACTCGGGTTCAATCCCTGAGTTGGGAAGATCCCCTGAAGAAGGGAATGGCCACCCACCCCAGTATTCTCGCCTGGAGAATCTCATGGATAGAGGAGCCTGGCCGGCTACAGTCCATGGAAATGCAGAGTCCGGCACAACTGAGCGACTAACACTTTCATTTCACTTTCAGGTCACCATGGTCATGCAACATTTTACCCTTAGGGGAAACTTGGTGAGGGGTATATAGGAATGCTGTGTATTATCTTTGCAACTGTTCTGTAAATCTAAAACTATATAAGGTTTATTTTAGAAAAAGTGGGCCAGAGTGCACATTTTTGTTTGGCTAGCAGTGTCATATGGCATGAACATTCTCACATCTAGTTATATCTGAACAATTTGTAGAATAAGGTTGAAAATGAGAATTGCAGAGAAATTTAGAAACGCTATTAAAAAAAATCTATAAGAAGGCAGTAGCAAAGATGAAAGCAAAACAAAAGACGGACCTGGATTCAGCTGGGGAGGGGGCGGGTGGGGGGGCAGGATCTTGCTAAAACGTGGAGTCAGACCTGTCATTTGAGGGAGGTGCCCTGGACAGTCAGGACACTGGTGACTTGCTTTAGCTTTAAAGATGAGCCCGTCACTTGGCTCCATAGCCTCACGCTTTAAAATGGCCTCACCCCACTCACAGATCCAGATTATGTAAAGTAAAAGAAGTCCTGGCAAAAATCAAGCTGTCCTGTTCTTCAAAATTGGGTCACTTTTGGTCAAGAACGAGAGCGTTCCTCATCCGTGGGCTGGTTACCATCCAAGACCTCAAGCCAGCAGGTCTGATTCTGCATGAGCATTTTCACTTTGCACTTGGCAAGTTTCTGCTTCCTCTTACAAGAACGTTCATACGAATGCCAAAGCCATTTGACTTCTAAATATAGTGTAACAGATGTGAATGAGGGTTGTATTATTTTTTGTGTTACACAAAGGGTCTTTCTTTTACCCAGAAGCCAGACACTAGTCCAGTTCTGTTTAGGCTCAGCCATCCCAGTTAAGGTAAATGGAATTGCTCGTTTTTCAAACCCAGGAGCTTTAGTTATTGTATGGGGGGGGGGGGGNAACAAGCATCTTAAGTGTCTACATTTCTATGACTCTAGAGAGTCATCAGCTCCTTAAAGCTGTATGCGAACTTGACCTTCACACGTGTCTTTTTTTTTTGTATGGAGTGAATTCATTCATCTTCAAAGGGTCCACAAGTCAAAAATGTTAAGAAACCCTGTTTCAGAGACACATCTTCCATGGCAAAACTCCTACTAAACTATGATACTTGCTAGGTACAGTTACAGTACAGATCCAGTCATCTTAAGGTCTGGCATTCAAACAAATACCTGGATAATGACTGGCTGGTTGATTTGACTGTTGTGAATCCATGGCACCTAACATCTTTCAAAGGCAGCACTGCAAGGCACTGGTGCTTATAACTAGTGTCTTCTCCCAGCTGTGGCACCGAGTCTTCCTTTCCTGAAGACTTAAGGGTCTTCTTCATGCACGTCCACATTTGTTCAATAAACCTCAATGTAAAGGATCCGTCAGAAATACCAAGGCTGGCTCTTCTTGCCCCTCTAAGTCCTTTCCAAACTGGCTATGTTCTTTCAAACACAGGATGGCCAGCGAGCATGTGGCCTTGCAACTCGTTTGGAGGAGCATGGCTTGGTAACTATAGGCCCTTCTAGCTGGCATAGCATTAAGGATCCCAAGTGCAACTTACATGTAAGATGCTGGAGTGATTTGACCAGGGGAAACATATTAGTTCTTTTCATTGTTTGCATGCTTTAAAGTGGCTTACAAATGAATGTTTTAGGCTGTTAGTCAAGAGAAAGGTAGTTTATAATTAAAGCCAAGAATAAAAACTTCACTGGGTCTTATACGAATGGATCCAATTATGAGACTAAAAATGATTGCCTGCTTGAACTCCTTTGCATGACCTTTCCCTCTTCATTTCTAACATTATTGGTATCATCTTAACTTTTGGATACTATTTTAGTCACCCCAGCAATTTAACTTCCCTTTGAAAAATGAATCAAAGTCAAGAGTTTCATGTTTAATGTGGTCCTTTAAAATAAGATGTAATGTTAATAGACTAAGTAAGAGACACTGAAGTGGTGCCCAAGCTCATTTCCCCCCCCTTTTTAGTAACAGTGAGATGATTAAATATAACACTAAAAAAGACTAAATGCTTGTGGCTTTTTTTTATCTATATTTAAAACACACAGTAAGAACATAAGAACATCTCAAATCATTTAGAAGGAAAAAGGGCTTATCAACCAAAATCTTTGGAAATTTCATAAAATTTAAATATCTGCAAACAATCTAAAGAAAAAGAAAAAAAAAATCCCAACATTTGGCTGTGGAGGGCATCTCATATGTGAACCAAATGGCATTATCCCATTTTCCTTCAGGCAAACTAGTTACTAAACCCTATTAGAAAGAGTACAACAGTGATATATGAAGACATCCCCCAAAACCACATACTGGATTTAGAACATTCTGTGATGAAGCGTTTATCTAATCACGGGCTTTCTTTCCATTGCATACACGACTTTACATTTCTACAATGCAATGTTGAAACAGCCTCCAGGTTTTGCAAAGGAGATTGATGTCCATTCTACAAAAATATTAAGTTACAGTACATAACACTGAATAATTTTAGTCTGTACATTTTCCCCCCTCCCAACATAGATGACACGCATCAGTCTGTACAAGTTAGAAAAAAGCCCATCTGGTTGCCCACATCTGGATTAATAGTCAACAGAATCAACCAGAGGTAGTAGGGTGGGTAGAGTTTGAGAAAGTATCAATACAGTGGAATAGTAACTGTGGTTAACAAGTCAATTCTTCACAAAGTGATACAAAAGAAATCATTTTAGAATTTTCACTGAAAAGATCTAGCTGAGGAGGTTCTGGCAAACAGTTGACCAACTGATCCAAAAGTTTAAGGCTGACTTGACTTAAGCTGCAGCCCAACCAAAAACACTGGCAACAATGGCGCAGTTCAAAGCTCTTCAAATGCATAGCTGGTAACACGTATGTTAATTAAGATTCCTTCAATTAGTTAATCCTCTAGACAGTTTTCTTTTTGTTTTGCATGCATCTGGTTCCACTTTCATAAGGGCATCTCTTCCTTGGTCAATCATGTGCTTTGCTTTTCAATTTGTTTTTATGATTTTTTTTTTTCGGTATGTTTTGTTTGTTAAGCTGTCAACACCTCCAACACTTGGAAAATGAAATCTAGATGCAATTTTTACTTACAGCAGAGAATCAGAACTCTATGGACAATGCAAAATGAAATGAAACAAGTATCAGAAACAGTTTATAAAAATGGCACATTTATTGCTACAGAACGGTCATGTACATGACTTCATCGAATAACTACAGATGGGAAACAGGTAATGGCCTAGACCAAGCTGGGTTTGTTTTTGTCTTGAAGGAACTCCAGCACACAACCTGTTTGGACACTTCTACAAATCAGAAATACACCAAAAACATGAAAAAATCGAGGCACTCAGCCACACATTGAAAACAAGGTGTAACTGTTTATCTTTTTTTTTTTTTGAAGTGTTTTCCCTTTTTTTCTTTTTTTAACAATTTTTTTTTTTTTTTAGTTTTTAATGCTGCAGCTATGTGTACAGTCGCAAAAATTTTCCCCGCTGCGACCTACAACTAAAAAAAAACAAAAACAAAAAACAAACAAAAGAAGCTACCATACAGTTTCATCTCAGTAACACATGGTAAAATAACATCTTTTAAATAGTAAAATAAAGTAACAAACTTTTACTCATAATGATTCCAAAAATCTACAAAGAAGAAATATTCAGAATCTGACAATTTTTTTTTTTGTAATATTCATGGTATAAAAGGATTGCTCCTGCGAAAAATAAGCCAAATATATTTTTTATTTTTAAATTTAGTTTTCTTTCCTACTAGGGTGTACTACAGTCTATTTTATAGCAAAAAGAGCACTAGACAAACGAAGCTTTATAACAAAAAGCCAGGCACTGATACATGGTAAATCTCTGCTTTTTTTTTTTCCTTATCTTCACTTAATTGCATCACAAGTAACAAGAATGAAAAAGGCCACAGTTCATATATTTTCACCGTTACATATGTCTATAATACTTGAAATGGGTATGGCAAAACCGGCACTGCACAAAGATGAGTCCACTTCAAGTCCCACGAGAAAGAGCATGTCTCTCAAAGAAAAACAAACAGAACCCAAAGCAAAATAAAAAGAGAGGCCTAGAGGCCTTGGTGCCCCATTGTGTTGGAATTCCTCATATTCCATCTCGACTTTTTTTGTTTCCAGTCAGCCAGCAGACTAAATTTTTGTGCTTGTTTATGCTGAGATTGTTTCATTCCTGACTCAAGTTCACTTTTGGACACAGATCATATTCTGCCTGTTGGATCCAAGACGAAAATCCTCTTAACCCCAAGTCTTGGTTCAACACCCTCCCCACCCTCCCCCACAATCCCTCATCAAAATAAAGATCACAAATTAAAAAAAAAAAATCAAGAGATAGAAAAAAAAAGCGAAAAACAAAAAAAGGAATCGGAAGACTGAATCAGAACCAGTTGCGTTACTGGGTGGACTGACAGTTGTATAAACATTAGTGTTCCTTGCAGCTACACAGAAGACAAATGGGAAAAATGTCTAGATGAACAGATCCCTAGTCTGCATATTCATAAATTACTTGAATGTGGAGGTGGATCAACCGTTCCAAGTTGCTTTTAAAGTCCAACTCTCTTAAACAGATCCCCAGCCTAAGTTTCATCATATACACAGTATAGTATGGACCCTTAGGAAATGCCTGTATGGTACTTTAATCCTAATTGTCTTCTGCTAAATTTCATCCAAAAATCCAGCGCAGAATACCAATATCTTACCTGGGTTTGATAATCACAAAACAAGGAAAAAAACACACTAAAAAGGCCACATTCCCTTTCATCTTTTCTTTTTTTTTCTTTTTAGTGGGGATACAACCCAATGTATATGGATGGCCGCGGATGTTTCTCCACCAAGCAAAAAGTAGTGAGCAGCATTGATGGCCGTTAGAAAACCTCTCCACTTATTTCCAAAGGGAATTCCACAATAGAGGTATTACATGACTGATTAATGAATGGGTCAAAGCTGGTGAACAGTAAATTGCAGCTTTTACTCTATTTGAGTGACAACAAAATATAAAGCACCAATTTAAAAAATAATCCAAGAACTACAATTTTTTTTTGCTTTGTTTACAGATTTGAAAATCTTTAAATCAGCTCTATGAAAGCACCTTGATAACATGTATCAAAAAGTGCCAATCTTAAAATGTACATCAATGCAGGGAGTGTTTCCAGTTCCCTAAAGAGTAAACACCGTATTTTCTATACACTTATCCTGAATGTGATCAGAAGATACCTGCTTCCTATATAATATTGTTCCTAGGGATACCCGCCTTGATAAGAGTATACAAAATGAGTGCAGAATGTACCACTAAAAGGATATCTTCAACATACTGAGGGTACAAGTACACACAGTTTCCATTATTCAGGAGGAGGGGAAGAGTACACAGTATTGTCTTCCACACCCTTCTCTGAGCCCCTTTGTTCGTCCATTTTCACAGGGAAGCCTCAAAATAACTTTTCATGAAGTCTGATTCCTGCTATTCTAAGGTTTTAATCCACCTCCACATTTTAGGAACTTATCAACAAATCAAAGTATTTCTGTTTTATCACTACTGAACATATTTACAGTTTTCAACACACACACAGCTAATCAAAATGTTTATGGGTTTGTAAAAGATGACCACGTGGTAACTATCTTATTTGTTCTTACATTTTCAGAAATGAACATAAAATTCAGATTCTTGTAGCTCACTATTTCATTTCAATGAGACTGTTTTTAAACCACAGTTTAAAAAAAAAAAAAGAGAAACAAAATCTGATACAATGTATTAAAACACATAATAACAAGAGTCTACATGTAAAAATATAACTTTTACATACACAATTTCAAAATAATGATACGTTTGCCATTTGTTGCATAAAATTTACAAATGTATTTCATTACTATATAACTGGCAAAACAGGAGAACAGATGGAACATTTAGACCATTTCGATGGGTTTATGGCATTTACTCAGTGCTGATAGGTGGAAAAACTACTTGAACAAGGGAGTTTTTTTTTCCTTAATACATGCCAAGATTGTGTGGCTGTAAAAATAGAAACGAGTTAGAGACAAAAGGATGCTGACAAATACTTAACTAGGAGCACTATTTCTTTACTGCACTATACACCAAAGTCAATCATTATAAAGATTCACAATGGAAGTTGGTTCAGTTGTGCCCAGACGTCAAAGCTAGCTATCTGATGAGTTGCTGTGCCATAGCTCGATCTATGTTTCTATCAAATATGTTAAGTATAAACTTCATTCATACTGGCCAGAGAAATACTGCACTACCCCTCCTCAAGAAAGTGCAACTTAATGCTTTAGGACTTATAAGGCTTGATATAATGCTGCATGATGATTGAATATTGGCATTTTTTTTTTCCAGACAAAGGAGGAGGCAGTTAAGTCATTCTACATCTTAGTAAACCCATTTTGAAAAAAAAAATCAAGAAAGCAACAAAATCAATCAGCTCTGTCACACTACTTGCAATTTTCTCGTTGGATGGTTGTTGAACTTCGTTTTTTTTTGTTTTTGTTTTTTTCCAAAAATCTGACCATGTATTCAGAAACACCTCACTGCACACTACTTCGGCTACACATGTAGGTAACACTTTAATCATTTTGTTAAATCACAGCCACTTTGATTATGTTATGTTTCCGATGATATAAACATTGGAAGGCACAGTGGTAACATTGTAGCATTCTAACCTTGTACCTCTGAAAATCCCAGAAGAGGGTCACAAACGCAACATTACAATTCAGACAAACTCTTTGCCATGTCTTGGTAATGCTGCTTGTTAATATCTACACATGATGTGACTTTTAAGTCCTGTGTTCCCAAAAGACTGAAGAAACAATTTTCTACTTATTTATGAATGAAAAGCAACATCAGGGTCAGCATTTCATCCTGTACTACCCGCTCCGGAAGCAGAGTTGGCACTACAGGTTACGAGAACAAACCAGGGTAAGGGACAGAAATCAGACCCAAAAAAAACAAAAACAAAAACAAAAAACTCCGTATTTACAGTAAAATCTTTCTTTTAAAAAAGTTAATCAGTACTATTTTTTTACAGGAGAAAAAAGTCTGAAACAAATGAACAAAAGCTTACCATAGTCACTAAATTTTTAATATATATTTATATATATATTTATATATATATTTGTCATAGGTCTATAAGATCCATCTGTTCCTCCTACCCTAAGGAATGGCTAATGTCATCACTTCGCTGTCATCAGGATATTTGCTGGTTTTGTTACGAGGGCAGCCGGGCTTCCCTTATTCGATATCCGGTCATTATAAACACTAGCTGACTTGAATACCAACAAAAACGGTCACGTCGTTTTCTTCAGAAGTACACTTTTTCATTATTGCAAGTTTACAATTTTTTTTAAATTAAATATTTTTTTTTTTTCAGACTTACAAATTAATTATATACTTTTTTTTTTCCAAAAGAAGTTTAGGCACAAATGCATTGTTCCACAGTGTGGAAAGATTGCCATTCAGTCTCTGGGCTGCATCTCAGCCTGCACACACTGCACATTCTGAATGATATGTTAAAGAGAGTCAACCCCTAAGTTGCATTTTTTTTTCTTTCTTTCTTTTTTTTGTTTGTTTTTCGGTTTTTTTGATCATTGGGAATGCTGAAACCTCTTGCGTCTGCGATTCATAACTACTCAGACTTGTCTTATATTACAAAAAAGGGGTTAAGGAGAAGTGTTTATGTGGGTTTAAGATAATACAGCTGTTAAGGAAGTGGTCTCTCGTATTAATGAAGCAATGTGGCAACTTGGACCTGAGAGAGAAGAGAGAAAGATGAATTAGTATGTTTGTAACAGAGAAGGGAAGCTTTCATTTTTACATTTTTTTCCCCCAAGGTAGGGAGAAACACTGTGCATTTGGGTCAGATACGACTTTCCCGGCAGGCTGGGGCGTGCGTCCCGAGGGGCGCCTGCAGAAACGGCTGAAAACACACTTGCCTTTCACATCTGTCCCATGTGGTTGGACGCGTCTCCCATGCCGGGGTGGGGGCCCGCCAGGGACAGCGGGGGCGGCTCTGAGGAGACCTTCTCTTCTTCCCTTCTCTTCAGACACGCGGCTTTTGGGTTCAGATTCCTTTCTGTGGAAGAGGACAGCACAGAGAATTCAGGTCACGCCCAGGGCTTCTGGTGCGGGCCGGTCAGGCTACGCTTCTGTGGGCCTGCTGACCCTTCCTCTCCAGTTCTACCTTCCAGAACAAGAGGACCGCGTGGGAAAATGCACCCTGCTGCAATTCATTCGCTCAGGGCGAGTGAACGTCCGTCTGTCTGCCTGGGGAAACTGTGGCTGCTTTACGGTCTAAGAAGGTTGGTAAAGCAAATATTTGTTGTTTAGTCGCTAGGTCATGTTCCACTCTTTTCCGACCCCGTGGACTGCAGCCCGCCAGGCTCCTCTGTCCACGGGATGCTCCAGACAAGAAGCCTGGCGTGGGTTGCCATGTCCTCCTCCAGGGGATCTTCCCGACCCAGGGATCGAACCCACATCTCCTGCCTCGGCAGGCGGATTCTTCACCCCTGGGTCCCCTGGGAAGCCCCAAGCAAAGAAGCAGAGCTCGGATTACCGAGAGGATCTACGGGAACGTCCGTCCCAGCTGTAAGAAAATTCCTGGGGCTTCACTACAGGGGGCGGGGGGCTGCCTGGAGGTCTCCGTGTGACTGAAACACGGAAATAAACGGCCCCGTGATGCTGAGGGGAGCCTCCGGCTCGACTCTCGCTCTCCACCCTGACCTCTGCAAGGAGGCCGGCCGCCCGCCCTGACCTCGGACTTGCTGCTCCAGGCTGAGGATGACGGCCACGGCCTGGTGGAGGATCAGGAGCTTGGTCTGGGGCTTGTCGCTCTTGAGGTGCAGCTGCACCATGCGGCCCAGCTCCTTGAACGCCTCGTTGATGTCGCGCACGCGCAGGCGCTCGCGGGCGTTGTTGGCCATCCGCCGCTCCTTCTCGCGCTCCGCCTTCTGCTCCGGCGTCAGGTCCTCGTCGTCGTTATTGCTGCGGACACAAGCGGAAGACGCGGCATTTTCTAATGGGGGCGCGGAAAGGGACGGTTTCTAAATCCCCTCCGTTTCCTTCCCCAGCTTTCGGGGAGCTTCTCCAGCTCAAGCTCTTGTCCCTGGCCGGAGTTTTCCATCCACCAGGGCTTGGCATTGCTTGAGGTGGTTATGACTGTGCCCACGTGAGACATTCAGAGTCTCCCAGACATGAAACCCAAACTCAACAGCAGAGGTTCAAACTGGGGCTCCAAGTGCACCTTACGGATAGAAGGGAGCAAACAAGGGACAGCAAGGCTCTCCTCCATAAAGCCAAGTGCTGCCAAGCAGTGCTTGGTCACCGCAGGCTCAAGCTAAGCTTCAGGACTGCAATCCACAAAGTGCTGTAGGCTGAAGCTGGTTTGTTTTTTTTTTAACTTTCATACTGTGACATGTGAAAGCTGAGATAAACAAGGGACTGAAAAATGATGTGCATACTTCAAAATTAACACGATGCAGCTCAAACAGGATTAAGAAAGTCCCACATTCAGGACAATGGGAGTGGACATGAGGGCCTGCTGTCTGCTGACCAGCCTGGAAGGCTTGGTCAGGCCACTGACTGTATCAGAGTCGCACTTTCTCCATGTGTTAAATATAGCCAGGTTAGAAAAATATCATCTCCATAACTTTTAACACTATGTATGTTTACGGTCACCAGACAGGCTGGGGAAACCTGAGTTTCAGGCAAAGCCAACCCAACCCAACTCAAACTTACAGGTTATCAATGACCACGACCTCATTGTGAGACAAAAATGAAGCCAAAAAGCAGATCTCTGATTGTGAGAACAGAAATGATTCACACCAAAGGCATGGTTGGAGCCAGGAGTCTGGAAAGACAAGGTGACTTCTATTTCTGGGGTGAGATCCTGATAAATTAGAAACTTTTGAATGGGGGGCAGATAGGATGATGAGCGACCTGGAAAGCCTGTCATATCAGGAGGATTTCATAGCATCAAGGTTTCTGTTTCTGGGCAATCATGTGAAAAAGAGATGCATGGGAGATGCCTTAGACAGAACAGAGCAAAGAACTCCAAGTGGGATAGTCTGAATTAACATGAACAAGAACCCTTTTTTGAGTATGAGAGACATAAAAAATGAAGTATACTTCGCTCAAAAGCAACAGTCTCCATTATAAGGAGCAAAACGGCAGTGACCATCTGTAAGGATGTCAGCCTCGAGATTTGAGCACTGACCCCAAGGATGAACAAGGTGAGCCTCGACCTTAAAATTCCATGAATCTGAAAGGCTCACAGAATAAAGATGTGAATCACAACCTTTCAGAGCTGGAGGAACACGTGGGAAGCCATCTACTCACTTCAGTGTACACTTAGGACTGGCTTAAAATCTACACGTCCAGGACCTCACTGGTGGTCCGGTGGTCCAGACTCTGTGCTTCCACTGTCGAGGGCCGTGGGTTCAATCCCTGCTCAGGAAACTAAGATCCCACATGCTGCTCAGGGTGGCCAAAACATTTTTTTTTTTAAAGTTAAAAAAAAATTTAAAACATGAATGGCTCCAGATCTTCCACTGTGAAGAATCTGTGTGTAACATCCACACTTCAGTGAGGATGCACCATGACAGAGAAGACCCAGTCAGGCAGAAATGGAGTGGATTCCTGGGCCACAGCATATGCTGCCCATAAAGACGACATATGTAAGGAAGCCAAGAGCACTTGCAAGGAAGGCAGACACCAAAGAAAGATGCTTTAATACTTGGCTCGTCTTCCCATAGGTTAAACTCCCTTCCAGATGGGACTGTCTGCCTTGGATGTGTGCTGGTGAGCGCACAACTGAACTGAACCCATCAGGAAGCTCTCTCTTTCTCTGCCATGTGATTCTCTTCCTCACTTCCTCTGCCGGCCCTTCTCTCTCCCATCCATGACCTTGGCCAACACCAAGGAATTCAAGGTGACTATGAATTCACACCCATAGCCCACCACAAAAAATGGATGTAACAAGCAAAATGAGAACAGAGTCGAGTTTCTGCTGGTCCTGTCCTGAAGGTAAAAATTTGGGTAATGTTTTTACATAGCAAACATGTGTCACACTTTTTCCAAAGTGGGGCTGAAAATGGGAAATTGTTTTCCAAGTGTATTCAGGCCAATAATGAATGAGAATTGGTTATCCATTTATAAGCTGTTTATGCAAACAAAACTGCCTAGATTTGGAAAGCCTTGCCAGACAACAGTTTTGGAGGCCTAAGTGACTGTCAAGAGAGTGACCTTTAAAAAAAGAAGGTTCTTAACAGCAAGTTTAAATGCTTCATTGAGACTTCAAAGGATCAACTGATAATGCATGTGTTATGGCCACTAGTTAAGTTACCAAGAGTTGACTGAATTAACAGAGAAACTGCTAAGGATGTGAAAGGCCCTCCTTGGAACATCTTATCGTTCCAAGGCAAGAGTTAGGAAATGGCCAAGGGCCAGGAAACCACAGTGATGGTGGAAAGGTATAAGCTCGAAGCTTCCAGAATTTTTGAAACTGTGGTAGAACTTAGTAATAAAATGTATCTTATAACTACAAAGGCAGTATGAAAAGATGGCATGTCCTTAATTCCTAAAGGACCCTAGGCATAACCTTGAGAAAGACAGCCTCTAAAAGGAAGGTACTGGGACTTCTCTGCTGGTCCAGTGGCTAAGACTCGGTGCTACCAACACAGGGGGGCTGGATCTGATCCCCGGTCAAAGGACTAAATCCCACAGGCCCACGCTGAGACCCAGGGCAGCCAAACACATATTTTTTATAAAGGGAGGTACTGCTGTAGTACAGCTCGTTAAATTTTCAAATAAAAACTACCCAAGAGCACTGAGGCAAACAACGTGCATGTCACGGTGTTCAAAAACAGTCCATCAGCTTTTCAGGAGATAGATTCGAATTTAAAGATACTGGGGACCTGAGAAAACTGATCAGAAGCTATTTTCCTGCAGTTGCATTTTCTGTAGAAAGGAGTAGTCAAGAGAAAAAAGATTAGCAACACAGGTACTGCTCTTATACATGTATATCAACATGTGTAGACTCAGGCTGGGAAATCGGTACTTTCTCACTTTCAAGGTAAGAAAACAGTTACAACTGCACATACATCCATTGAGTTTTCAATAGTAATAAGATCTCTTTTTAGAAGTATTTTCGGAAGAACATTTCCGACCAAATTTGTAGAATAAGCAGTCTTACAAATCAACTGCTTGCATTTGAATTGGTGGTAAATTGTTTTTGCCGTGTGTCATCAGCATTGGGTCCAAATTCATAAATGCAAAGGCAGTTTCGGCTTTCCTAGAGTACAGGTATCTCAAATGATACGTTCGTGCCTCTAGAGCAAGCCCTTCCATTTTCGTTTTTAGCTGCAGATTTACCTTCCAGGAAAAAACTGAATAGTTTCTTCCTGTTCTGTTCACTTCATCAAAGTCCAATAAAGGAATTAAATGAAGCGACAGTATTATATACTGTTACCTAGATCTTGACCTAGTAATGGATTTGATATCCTTCTTGTCGTCATCTAATTTCTTGTCCTCGGAAGATTTCGTGTCTTGCAGGTTTTCATCACCCTCATCGTCGGATTTGATCTCAGAGCTGCCGGAGGAGACACTCTGGCCCTGCAAGCCTGGTGGCATGCCTGCAGACAAACGAAAGAGACAGGTGACACCAGAGCCTTGTGGCGCAGACACGCACCCGGAGGTGCTGGAGGGCTGCCGGCTATCCGCCCAACTAACTGTGTGATCTGTCACTTTTCTCCTCATCTTTGGTGAAGTTTCAAAAATGCACCTGCAGAAACAAGTTATCCCTGCATTGGCTCTGAGGTTAAATTCTATTTTGCAATCTTTTGGAGTAGATGGTAATTTCACTGTCTACAAAACATCAACTTAATTGCAATGAAAATCATAATCATGAAAATCACACACCTCAATGTTCTGATTAAGAACCCAAGTAAATATCAGCTATTATATTGAGTTTCTTCCATATGCAATGATTTAATAGAAAAATGTCCTTAAAATATAATTCCCAGGGAGTACACTAAATATGTACAGTCAAGACTTCAATAGATACCCTAATGATATTCTGAAATCAGGCTTCTCTTATCCTCGAGGAGTAATCAGTGTTTAAAAATGGTACATATGGAAAGCAGCTCAATGAAGACATTTCTAGCTCTTCCACTGCTCAACTTTCCAAGATCACAATATATTTTAAAACGTGGCCCAAAGGCAATCATTTATTTCTAAGGTAGAAGTGTGTCTATTCAGTATTTCCTTCCATCTGTAATCTATGAGGTCCAGAATCTTGTCCCTCAAAATCTGATCAGGGGACCAGGAGTATGCTTATCCCCTGGAAGCCCATTAGAAATGCAGAATCCCAGACTAACTGAATCAGAATCAGCATTTTAACAACAAACATCCTCAGGTCATGCTTGTACACAATAAGGGCTGACCTAAGACAAAGAAAACCCAAAGACTCTTTAAAAGAGAGGACCATCAAAGTCTGACTATTCAGATAAAAATGGGCAGGCATACCCACAATATAGTTAACACTCAGATTCTTACAATGCTTAGTACTTGGACAAAAATGCTTACACATATTCATTCTTGTGGCACCTTTAGCATGTTTTATTCTCAATGTGAGGGCAATGAGGTGTTAAATAAGCATCTCTTGGTCACCGGGCCAGCCAGCTGCAGAGGGACCTGGGACCCAGGTCTTGCTCCTGTGGTCCAGCCACCTGGGGTCTTGGAAAGCGGAAAGGAGTCAGGGGTACGGGGCGGTCAGGACGGGGCCAGATGACTCATCCGACCAAGTCCCATTTTTGAAATGTACCTACATTTCCTTCCATCTTAAGCAACAAAAACCCATTTCCTTCCTTCCTCTTCATTTGGAAACATCACTGTCAGGTTACGACTAACCACATTAAAGGATCTGGATGAGCGCAATGTGGAAATAGCTAAAATCACATTTCCTCTCATCAGTATCTGGTCTTATCCCCTGCTGCAAGCAGGAGCAGGGTTTCAGAGGACGCTGGAGAGAAACAGTTACCGAAGGAACACAATTAGCCGTCGACGTTCGAAAGCCTTTCCCATTTCCTTACAATTTGGTACCAAAATGGCTTCGTGGTTATGGGCCAGTGCTTCCCGAGGGATGAATGCCAAGGAGGCAGTGCTGGCACACGGGGTCTGCGCTTCAGGGAGACGGGCGGACCTACCTCTGTAAGGGTCCTGGGGTGGGTTCAGATCAGGGGAGGTGGCCGACTGGACAGGCAGCTGTGGCACCGGAACCTGGTTCGGGACGAGAGAGTGGCTGCCTCGCAGGGCCACGCCGTCCTCGCGATGGGCCCCGACCTGCAAGGGCGAGAGGGACCGCGGCGGTGAGTGGGCGTCAGAGGTGCGGCGCAAGGGCCCGAGGGAGGGAGACCAGCCTTTGAAAAGCCAAGGCTCCCCAGCGCGTCTCACTAGAGGGCGCTGCAGGACCACACGTGCAGCCCCAGTCCCGGGCGGAAAACCAAACATCTAACGTCAGTGAGCCGCCGCGCTGCACATCCAGTGACAAGCATGGCAGAGGGGCTCGGGCAGGTAGAACGTCAAACTGTCTCCCAGGGTGCTGCGGTGGAGCGTGCTGATGCGTACCCATCTGCCTTCTATCATGTCCGCCAACAGATCTGACAATTATCTTAATGCCCATATGCTTAATTGTGGGCTTCTCAATTCCCCCATTGCTATCGGAAATCCTACAGGAATTTCAATTTGGCATTCGACTTTCATTTCAGGGGATAAGATTCTCAGGCCTGCCATGTTTTTTTTTTTCCATAATGCCAGCTAAGCCTCTGACAGCGGAAGCTACAGCAGTATGGGACCTAGCCCCTGCTCGGTACAAATATAATAAAATGTCACCTGGCTTTCCAAAACTGGCAGCCCATTCCAAATTAATGTTTACTGTATTTCATCAGCTGCTGAGTTCCAAATCCAAAGGGGGACCGTTTCTGCCAATGCCACCATACCGGAAAATGTACCAATAAAGGTTTTATTAAACACACCAGTAATGCCATCATTGCCATGCAAAGATGTTTGGACATTTTTCCATTTTTTTTTTTTTTTTTTTACTATTCTGATCCTAGATAGACAACATATTGTAAACACTCTCGATGCCTTCAAGAATTAAATTATAGAGTACAGCATGATGACTTGGTCTGAGTTTTTTTTAACTACTACTACCTACTCTGGGGTCCAGAGGTGTTGAACCTATGGCACTGAGACAGCAATAGCTGACTTTTATAGTGAACTCCTTCAAGTAAGACCACTGAGCATTTGGAAACCAAGAGGAACATGAGTAAAGTTTCACTGGCATTTCCAAGTAGTTATTTGTTGGTGTATTGTTAGGTGAACACTGACACAGGACAGTGGGTCTAACACTAAAAAGTATCTCTCCATGAATTTATACTGCCAGGAATCAAAAAGTGTACATTTTCTCCCAATCAGAAATAGAAAATCACAAAGCAAAATCTTCACTCTTTTGCTACCCAGTGTTCTAAGAGTTCTAAGAGTATTTCTGCAAAGTGCAACAATAAGAATCTGAACTGCAACAATAAAATGCACAGAACCAAAAGAAGCATGTGCTACCTCAAGACAGCCTAGTATGAAGTGTCACCTTTACATACTCCAAAGCAATGCAGAAGATAATAATACAGGGGGAAGGGGGAGGACCATATAAATCATACTAACTGCTGAGATTCGAAATGCAGCAAGAATAAAACTATCATACAGAGAATGGATAAACAACAAGGTCCTATTGTATAGCACAGGGAAACACATTCAATGTCCTGTGATAAAACATAATGGAAAAGAATATGAAAAAGAATGTATGTACATATGTATACACTGGACAGCAGAAATTAACACAACACTGTAAGCCAACTCCACGTTTTTTATAATTTTTTAGAAGTAATTTTAAGATGATTTTAAAAAAAAGTTAAAATACTACAAGAAAAGCAAAGGATTTAAGGACTCAGGAGCACCTGGAAGTTTAAATGAATGTTGCAGCTGAGAGATCTAGGAGTCCGGGGCTGTCTGTCCCTTCCCAGAACAGTCTGGAAGGTGGTTAGTTCCTATTGATATGTAGGCGCTTCAGATACATTAAGAACCTGATTATCTTCCAAAACAGCTTCTCCATCTCCACCACAAGTTGGCCTCCTTGGACACTGCACCCACTGGTCCTGGATTTAACTTCCAGAGTTCCATGGAATAAGTGTCAGCCCTTTTCACTATTTAACACTAGCCATGCCTCTCCTGACTTGCATCTGTAACTGAAGCCTGATCTCTTACGGGCAGGCCATGCCCACCCAGTTCCCTGCAACCGTTTCTCATTCTTTGTGTATGTTTTCATTTCCCTTTCATACCAAAGAGTGATAGCTTTTTTCCATTTTTATATTTGTGCAATTAGAAGACTGATTCAATCAATGACTATCCTTTCATTCTAAGATGTCAACTTGCAAGCATGAATTTTACAGGCCCTGATCAAATGGTAGCTCTTTAAGACTGTTAATCAGTATAACCTAAAGAATTATCCAACTGCTGATTTATAGTTACTGGCCTTCCCAGTGGATTACATTTCTTTCCACAAAGAATGAGTCTAAGTTGGAATCACTGAAGGTAACCACCAATCTGAGCATGGCGGAAATTCCCATACCCTCCTAATATTTTAGAATCATTCTGTTAAAACCCTCAAGCCTTCTTTGTGGGCAAGTGAGATGCAATTCAAGGTTAAGACATTGCTTTTCAATTAAAACATATTCAGTTATTAATCCTGAAAAAAATTTTTTTCCCTTCTAGGTCATGTTTAGTTTTTAAAAGAACCCACACCCTTTAAACCCACACACCTTTAAAAGAACCTTTCTATTTTCTCTGCCTCAACTAATATGATAGACAGCATAACTAAGTGAAAATTAACACAATATTAGAGTTAAAAATATGTAGATTCTAACTGTAACTGGTTTCTTGACTTGTTAAATAATCTTGGGTAAGTTACTCAAACCCAAAATGGAGAAAATAACATTGGAAGTGACAGTGGATAAATCTCAGGTTTATTGCAAGGAGTAGTAGTATGCAAGACAGTTGGTACCCCAAGGCACACAATAATTACTGACACCGTTAGGTGTTTTAGCTGAAAATACTTGCCTCGTACATACAAATAAGAGTCTACACAGTTTAAGAAACCTGAGAAGTCAAGCTACTTTCACTTATGATCCTCTTTGCACTCTGTCTCTATGTTGTTCATATCCATTTGGTTTTAAATCTTTCTCCTGCAGAATGACAGAAAAATCTTAAATGATCTATAAATATGTTTGAGAAGGTGGTTGTTCTGACTAGATTTTGGTTTTTATCCACGGAGGTTACCTAACTAATTTTCTAAAGATCACCTTAGAGCCCTGAAATAATACATTCTTTTTCATAAAGGAAGTTGAAAACATTATCTGTGATATTAGAAGGTCTCTCTTGTAAACTGTGCATATTTCAGGAACAAATGGATCAACAATGATAGGTCTAGATCCATGGATCCATCTAATTAGCTTGACTCTCCAGGATCCATTCCATCGCCCGTGTCTATGGAATAATATTCCAATTTGAAGAATTAGCTTTGGTCTGCTTGCTTCCTTGGCCACAGACAGCACTTCCTAACCCCATTTACTTCTCTCTCAGAAACATTATTTCTGGTCACATGAGAGATGAGGAAAAAAACCCACAGTGAATGGCCAGCACAAACCCATCAACAGAGTAACTCAGAAACAGACGGAAAAACCAATACTGCCATCTGTATATATGAGAGTCAGGATTTGCCCACTTACAAATATATAATAATGTAACTAGAAAAAAAGCAGATTCCTTTAACCTACAAATCAATTCTAAGGATGGCACCCAGAAAATCCATATTTCATTAAAGTCCTATTTTGAGAACGTTTCATCTAGATAAGCAATGAAGTTAAAAGGCAGCCCATGAAAACAGCTTTATCAATACTGATAGTAAATTATTTTTGCAGTCTTTAACAACAGAGTCTTCTTACAGTCACATACAATATGGTTTTAGATATATCTATGCTAAAAGCAGAAGACAGAACTAAACTATAAACATTATTCAATAACTGCTAATTGATTGATCAGAGAGTACCTTTATTAATTCAGCAAATATATCCTAATCTAGCTGGTGCTGGCCATTCTGCAAGGTGCTGGGGGCGGTGGCGAATAACTTAGATGCGGGCCCTGGCCCGTGTGGGGCTTTACAGCCATCCTTGGTGGAATTTTCATGGCGTGATCCATTTACCACAGTGATTTTAGCAGCAAGGACCAGAAATTCCTTCCACCTTGCTCAGGTAAAAGATTTAGCAGGAAGATTTCTTTTTGTTTTTTATTTCGTTTATTAGAGGATAATAGTTTTACGATGCTGTGGTGGTCTCTGCCACACATCGACACGAATCGGTCGTCATTATATACATGTCCCCTCCCTCCTGGCCTCCCCGGCTGCCTTCATCCCTCTAGGTCATCCCACAGCACCTGGCTCGTTACCCATTTCACATGGCAGTGTGCACATGCAATGCTACTTTCTCAAGCTGTCCTACCCTCTCCTTCTCCCGCAGGGTCCACGAGACTGTTCTCTATGTCTGTCTCTCCATTTCTTCCCTGTAAATAGGTTCAGCAGTACTATTTTTCTAGATTCCATATACGTATTTGTTAATATAGTATATTTGGTTTTCACTTTCTGACTGGTGTCACTCTATATAACAAGGTCTAGGTTCATCCTCTTCATTAGAACTGACTCAAATCTGTTCCTTAGGAATAGAACTACCATATGACCCCGCAATCCCACTACTGGGCACATACCCTGAGAAAAATCACACTTCTCAAAGACACATGCACCCCAGTGTTCACTGGAGCACTGTTTACAGCAGCCAGGACATGGAAGCAACCTAGATGTCCACTGACAGATGGATGGAAATGGATGAAGAAGTTGTGGTACATATGTACAGCGGAATATTACTCAGCCACAAACAGGAAGCCTGTGGTGACTGAAGTTTAGGGCTTGGAGAACTCCTGGGACCTAAGGCCATCTCTTGCACCCCAGGGGCCGTGCCAGCTTCTCTCCCACTTCTACTGGAACCTCTCTCTCTGGCCTCTGGCCACTCAGGACTGCACCCTGTACTCGTCTTCCACAGGAGCTTCCACCACATCCAGGTTCTGAACCCACCCCTGACTCCCTCTTTGTTTCAGTATTTCTGAGTTCAGAATGCTGAGATCATCTGAGGGCCTGGCTCACCATTCTGAAGCAGACGTGAACCATCCCACGAACAGGCCAG